TTTTGGATGAACAAAGACGGCGTAAGCTTACATGCTGTGAAAGTGGTACCGTGCTCGTGCACCCGACGAGCAACTCGAACAACAACAGGACTCTTGCAAGATGAGGCTGTACGGCCACGTACAAGGACGATCGTCGCAGGATTGCTTGGTGTATTGTGATATAGATGTGTGCGAAATTGTCTAGCTATTTCGAAGATTTCTTAGGTGACCGTACTGGCCGTGTTCAGGTAGTACGCGCTGGGGCGGCTGGGGCGGCTGGGGCGGCTGCCTTAGCTTGTACATGAGATGAATCGTCAACAACACCTTTCTGACGCTCCTTGGGTCGTTCAGAAGGCTTTGAGGCTCTGCGCTTGCTCTTTGAGAACTGTTGTATAGCCTTTTGAGCGTCGTGCCTGTCTCGCGCGATATAATGTTCTTAGCTACTCCTTTAGTTGGGTCCATGGTGGTGGAGTCATGACGCGTTTTGTATACCGTGCCCGTACACGAAACGAGCCAGTTAGCAGGTCAAGCCAACCCATCGAAATGTTGACAATGAAAGAATGAAGCCGTAGAGCCACACCCGACAGGAATCATGCCGCACAGTTGGGTGCGAGTATTGTAGGCAGACAAATCAAGAGAAAGCGTATGTGTTGTTGTTGTTTGTAGCATCGTAGCTGAGCTTGTACAAAGGTCATCGCACCGCGTTATTAGTAACAAGGTTTCCGACAGCGCTCGGTCTGCGACATGCTATTTTGCGAGAGAACCTAGTGTATTGCTATATAGATGCTTGCACATCTCTTCTACTATCTGTGGCTAGCTAGTTTCCTGGTGTTGCGGCCGCTCGTAGTGAAAACAGGTGGTGGAGACGCAGCCGGAGGTTCAGCGTCAAAACGTCTTCGCACAGCCACAACACGACGGCGCTTTACTGGATTCTTTGCAGCACAATGTGAAGCCTCTCGCTTACACTCGTTCGAGTTTATCGTGAAATTTTTGAGCGGCTGCAGCGTCGCGTTGCTGCTTTTTGAGCGTTCGTTTGGCAGCCAGCGCTTCAGCTTGTACTTTCTTTGGCTCGCGACGCTCCTCAGCAGCACGCTACCGAAACCAACTTGCCTCCTCTTGCTGCTGCTTTCTGTATGCTGTTGCCGCCGCTTTTGCCTCTCTATCGTGAGGGGGGTTTCTTGGAGTTGTAGATGCGCGGCTTCATCAAGTTCTGCAGCTTTGCGCGCGGTCGTGGGCAAGCTTCTTGAGACTGTAGAAGATGGCACCGCCGTGCCAGTCGTCGCTGTCTCGTGTAGCCGGTGTTGTCCGCCGGGTCGGGCGCTTTCTAATGACGTTGGGCTCGTGTTGTAGCTCCTCGTTTTGAGCAGGAAGAGGCTCGTTGTTGACTAGTAACGGGTAGAGGCTTCGCGACAGCCGCTTGGCTCCGATTCTGGCCTTGTCAGCAACTGCAGTGTTGGAAACTTTGGTCAGCTCAGGTCAATTATTGCCGTCGCTATGCTCTTCATTCTCTGCGTCTTCACCTTGTTGTTGTGGGTGGTTGTTGAAGCGTTTTAGCATCGCATATGCGTCTATTGGCCACACGCCTGTAGCTCGAAACTCTTCTATACGAGCTCCAGAGTCGTTGTAGAGTTCTAAGCCGGCCAGGATTTGCTGTGGAAGTCGCATTCCGCGATCCTCGTGAGGCTTTGGGTTTACTAGAGGTAGTGGATAAGCTCCTCTGTGCAGCACCTCGAAAGCGGCGCGAAGAGGACGACATCGAGTGGCAGCAAGCTGCGAGTTGAATGGGGTGGAGATATCATGAGAAGCTCTTCACTTGTGTGGTAGGTCGCCTGCCAAACCCTTGCTACTGCCATTCTGCTTGTGCCTACGTCACCCTCGGATAACAAGGACAATGATGATAAAGCACTTTCCTTTCTTCTCGTATTCAACTTCTGATAAAAAAGATGCTGTTCACTGCCCATGATCGCTCGAGCCGGACCGATCAAAGATTGCGTTACTGCAGGACTCGACAGCAGTGACTGAAGCCAGCCATTCATATATCGGCGGGCTGCATAGCGATGTCTGATTCGATGAGCTTCCTGACCGCCGCCAGACCTATGCCGGTGTTTTGTCAACGCCACGTATTCCCTGTGGAAGCCTGTGGTAACAGTGTAAATCTTCGCATTGCAAACCAACACCGCAAACCTCACGGCCGACTTCTATCCGGGAGACGAGCCTCTCTACCTCTATCAGAGGCCTAGAAATGGCAAAGAACAGCCTCGTCAACGTCACTGCCTGAATCTTTTACCTCGCGACCTCATTGGTGCTCTTGGTTGCGTGAGGAGATGTCTGGAAGAGCAGCTTAGTGCCCGACAGGCTGTTGTCCTTTTCGTCCTCTGCCTTCTCGTCCTCTGCCTTCTCGTCCTCTGCCTTCTTCGACACCGATCCCGCGCATGACCTTGAACACATGCTGCGACTAGACGTCTTGCGAAAGCCCGCAGCCTTGTTGAAGTGGTGAGACATGAAAGTGTATCCACAATACAAGTGACGAATCAACGACGGAGAACCGCGAGATTGCACACGTGCGTGCCAGATCCTGACTGCGTCAAGCCCAAGCCATCAACCTTAATCTCAGCCAAACGACGTCAGCTCACAAAGTGCCCCATGTCGCTCCGGTGCAAGTCTGCCATCTTCATCACCAAAGACACCCTTCCTCTTCGCGTTGGCTGAGACAGCGCCCAGCGGCCTTCGCGGTTCCACCATCTTTGCCCGCTCGAAGTCGATCACCATCATTCGGCGTGTCCGGTCCTCCCACAGCATGTTCCGTTTTGCAAGGTCGGTGTGCAGTACTCCGAGTAAACGAACAGCTTGCACTGATGCCTCCGTCTGCTGTGAAACAAACAACTTGCCGTCTGCTGCCAGATGCTTGTCCATGCGCTTGCCTCCGTAGCTGAGGAACATCATGTGCTTCAGCTCACAGATCCCCTCGTAGTAGTACGGAACCTCTAGGTCAATGTTGCCTAGATGCACCGGCACATGCGTGCCCTGTATAGGACGCAGGCGATGGTAGATCTTGGCTTCCCACTCGAGACGAGGCGCAAGCTCGATCGGGCAAGCCTTGGCGACTACGGTATATCCATGGGACTCCAGTCTGACACAGAAGGGGACGCCACACGCTCCATGAAGCCCTATGACCTCGCAGTTCGAGTCTAGGTCCTCGGACAGCTGCTGGCGGATGCGCTTGAGGAACGTCGACCGGCTCAACTGATGACGGTCTGTACCATGTAGCCCCGCATTCGGGCACGCGACGTCAAGAGGACCACTCCTCACCAGGCCAAGCAAGCAGTTCTGAGTGCAGTACTTTCCATCTCGTCCTGTGTTGCCTGATCTGCGATCAGATGAAGGAACGCTGGTGGTGGGTCGCGAACGAGATGGATGTGGAGGCGGCGGTGGTGATAATGATGATGACGATAACGATGGTGGTGGTGGTTGTCGGCTTGGTGTGTCTGGATCAGGCTCCTCGTCGCTGGTGTTATGCCGATCCTGCGGCTGCGAGCAGTCGACTTCGCCTGTGCGTGCTCGTCGTTGCCGAATCCGCACAGGCGACATGCGCAGAAATTCTGTGTTTCGAGGCGGTCGGTATTCTGACGACGGCGTCTCGTGCGATGGGATGTCGTCCAGCAGTACGCTGTACAGGACCTCCCAGCTCTTCAGCCGAGCCGATGTCTCCTTTCGCCATCTGTGGCTCCGAAGCGGCGTTCTCAGAGCTTGCAGCGTAAACGCCAGCATCTGCCCGACAGCGGTCAGGTGCAGTCGGTTCGGACCGTCGGCGTCTGGCGCCC